GGCCAGGAGCCCCTAGTAGCTTCTTGCTCCTAGTAGTAAGGCACTTGTTTCTAATAGCTTCTTGTTACTACTAGTAAGGCACTTGTTACTAGAAGCGATGCACTTGTTCCTAGTAGCTAATCCATCGCCTAAAATGACGGTGACAGATATCATTGGGATGGTGTCACACCAGCCGCTTTACTTTTGGGAAGTCGGTGAAGTGATTTTCGCAGAGGCCTTCTACCTAAAAGCCTCCCTCAAGTGATGCTTTTTTGGCAGATGTTTTTGATTGAGATGACATTCCGTTACAAAGGAGACATGGTTGACAGATGCTGACAGCTTGACCTTGGAAGCGTTTTCGAGGTTTCCATGGACATGAGGAATGTTTGCTGGAAAGACATTCAAAAGGATTGGGAACGTGTGGACAGCATTTTCAGCCGGAGCCCAACGTTTTTCAACATCACCAAAATCTATATAAATTATATAACATCTTGAACAGCAAGTGACTTTCATGTTCTTCCCCCGAACAGTTCCAACTTGGCTCACTATACGAGTTCTCGAATCTGGCTCAAGGCAGCTTTAACAGCTTAGCACACAAGTCGAATCCACAGTTTGTGAAGTCGTTCCATGATGCGAGCCCTCCTATTGCTTTGCATGGCATCAGTGCTTGCGTTACGCCCAGAGCGTTCTCTCGAGGAAGGCACGGCGAAAATCCAGAAGACAGAGGAACTGGAAGGCTCACAGGACACCTTGCACGCAGGAGAAGCCTGCCAAAAGGATTGTCATTTTCTAAGATTTGCATACCGATCTTTTTTGCATTGGTTTGGGCATATTTAGGCCTTTGTTTGTTTCTTTCTCTTGAAAGAACGGTGGGGAAGTTGCAAACCCTACACGAAACACGATGGGGCAAAGCAGTCGTGCCCAAAGATCAAAGATAAGAAGACTTGCCATGGCACATCTTTTTGCACGTGGTGCACTCCGCTTGGCTGCACAAAATAAGAGTGAGACCTTCCCCGGAGGTCTGCCAGCAAAAGCCTGGCTTGGCCGACAGAATGTGAGCTTGATATAGCTTGATTGCTTTGGAGCTTTTGGCCAACCAAACAGACAAAAAGTCGAGCTTGAAGATACATATCTTGTAACTTTACGATACTGAATCTGACACAACATCTGATATTCTGGGAACATGGGACTGCGCAATATGGAAAAGCTTGTGACGGGTAAGTTTCGCAAAGTGAACATTCCTCACAATGGAAGGATTTGTGAATCATTATGAAGGAAGTTGAGCCTTAGCCCTTCTTGTGAGCAAATCTTGTGCTGGGAGAACCTATCAGACTTTTTGGCAGATTCTCCTACATCCAGCCTTGTGGGTGCGTCCAGCTGCTTGAAACGATCAATGTGGGTGCAGTTCAGGGGGTACAATCATGGGTAGTAGGGGCGGGGCATCGGCATCTCATACTTTTGACCCCCTTGGTGGATCACATGTGACCAACTTGTCACAGAATTTTGGATGCTGGATTTGGAATCCTTTCAAGTGCTTTTGTTTTTTGCGGGAGTTGAATATGTTGCTTCCAGAACACAAAGGGGTTCTGCCTCGGTCTTCGGTTTTCTTGCTTTGACCTTTTTCGTGCCAAGCAGGCAGCTTCTACCTCCTCGGCCTCCACGCCCCTTGGGCGGCTGGCCAAGGTGCCGTGGGGCGTACCGAGCACACGTGGCGTTTTGTTTGTTTTTGCTGAGACATATTGTTGGAGGCCTTTGCTATTAGGTTGGAGGCCATAGTAGTAAGGTTTTGGTGTTTTGTTAGTTTATTTTTTGGTATTGCTATCATCGAGACCTATTCGGTGCTCTGCAAATCCATCCGCCATAATGTGAGTGCTGGCTATACCAGATGTTTTGAGTGTGATAAGCTCCGGTTTGTTCCTATCCAACACTGAGCAGGTATTTGTTTCATGCAGATCAGAGGGTCGTCATTACCATATTTCTTTGTTCCTTCCCTGAGTTTGTTCATTGATGTGTGGGGGTTTTGTTTTTGGTGTGGTATTCGCTCCTCCTTCGCTCCTCCTCCTCGCTCCGCACCTCCACCAATTGTCACTCACCAACCAATTGTCATCAACCAATCGTCACCAACCATTTGTCATTCACGAATTGCCATGCCACCCACCAATTGTCACCAACCAATTGCCATCCACCAATTGCTACCAACAAATTGCCACCAACTAATTGTCACCACGGGGTCGGATGTACGCCGTGGGGTCGCTTGGTCGCCGCAGCTTTGCCGGTGTGATTTGCGTGGCGGGCGCGGTACTTGGTGCTCTCCAAGGGGTCGGATGTACGCCCTGGTGCGCGCATTGATGTCCTCTACACATACATACGTGATCCAACACCTGCGCACTCCACCACCATTCAGATGCACACACACACATCACATATACATACGCAGGCACAGTGAGACACGTGACGTTCAAGGGGATTCTCACCCAATCAGGATGAACAACATCCTGCCAATATTTGGCTCAAGTCTAAGAGGAAAACAGGCTGAAGCCACTGAAACTTGTGGTCATCAGCCGTATCGCTCATCCTGTCTTCTCACGCCATTGGTGCTTTCTTTGCTGCTGGAGCTGCCCGCTACTCTGAGCTTCGTCTTGACTGGTTCGCTCCTCTCTGTCCTTCGATCCTTGTCTGAGAGGGTGTGTATGCCCAGAAGCAGAAGAGCCAAAGAACTTGCCCTACAAGCCCTTGCACCCACGTTCCCTTGGTTGCCCCGTCATCTGCAGCAGGAAGGTTGAGGGTGGCACAAGCAGTTGGGAACTTAGCAAAAGCTTCGGGAACCCCGTCTAAGGAACCGTTAGTTTTTCCAATTCTCCTGACTCCATCACAGGGCGCTGGTGGTGCAACCGTGTTCGACCCACCACCACCATCACCTGTTACCAAAAGTGCTACCCCTCAAACCTCCTCTTTTGTAGACTGTGCCGAGGCAAGCCCCGACAACCCTGATTTCCCAGTGCATCGTGCCGAGTCAAACCCGTGTGCTGAAATCCCGACGAAAGATCCGATCCAATCCAAAAAGCGGCCAGTTGAAGGCGAATTTGAACTAGACTGTCTAGACTGCTCAACCCAGCCAACTCTGGCAAAGGCAAAGGCCTTGGAGTCAGATTCCTCGCGAGTAAAGTCTGGGTCTATTGTTGGCGTTCACCCTGCTGTTCACGCGTGTTGGGTTAGTGTTGATTTCAACGGGTGTCTTAACGTAGCAGTGGCTGGTGACTCGGAGTTATCCAGCATTCACCCTTCAAACGTTGTCGCGCTCAGGGAATTTTTGGATACAACAGCAGATCACGGGGTTAGGGTAGGCATCACTTCCTACATTGGTTTGTATGGTGGTAAGTCGCAGGAACGCAGGACTTCTTTGTTGAATACTGTTCGGGATTATAACTCATCTGTTTCAGACCCTAGGAAAAGGTTGGGTTTAAAGATTGTCGATTCACGTGACGCAAAGGGAGATTTTCTGAAGAACGCAAAGGCATTTGCACACATTGACGATCGTTTGAGTACCTTGAACGGTATTTTGGAAGACAGCTCGGGGGTCAAGACCTTTTGGTGCACTCAGGCTAGGTCGAATCGTACGCACGCAGTTGTCCGCTCGGTCAGGGAAGCTATTGACTTGATTAAGGGTGGGAGGATACACGCGTCTCTCCATCCCAATCGATTTGACAGTTTCTGGGCAATTCCTTGAGCAAAGCTGCTCTTTGAGTAGACTCTCACCTCAACTTGCTTGCGCTTGCGCGGGGGGAAGGGGGAGCGGTCGAAGCGAAGGCTGTGAATGACAGAGTCTTCAAGTACAAGTTATCAGCTGACAAGTGCATCATCAGACGTTCACGGACTTCCAGCTGTTGGTGGTTCTAGGGAATCAAGTAGTGGAGCATCTAGCCAGTCCGAACGGAATCGAAGCGGAGGCTCCCGTCCCTACTCAAGTAGGCCACCAAAAGCCCCAAGACCTTTCACTCCAAGAAGAAGAGACCTGGAGATAGAAGAAGACCCAAGGTATGCAGTCACCCAGCGGGACTTCCAGTCCCCCACCGATGAATCCATGGACACCGTCGAGGGAATCCCTTTCTCCACTGTTCAAGCGTTTCAAGACCAAAGAGCGTTGAATTTTGATCAAAGATCGGTCCATGTTGAACAACATGTTCGCAATCCTGATCCATCGATCGTCGGGGCCCTAGCCGCTGAAGCAGCAAGTTCGGGCCTGAGAGCAGAGGCAGCCCAAGTTGTTGCCCAAGTGAGAGAAGCAGCCTTACAAGCTGCGACGGACTATAGGGTGGAGGCAGTACAGGCAGTAGCTAACGCAAGGATTGAAACGACGGTTGCGCAAGCATCTGCAGAGGCCTCTCGGGTTAGCGCCTTGGCAGAGATCCAGTATCTTCGGAAGCAGCTGGAAACTTCCCAAAGGGAAAACCAAATGCTAAGGGAACAATTCGTAAAGAGCGAGATCAAGAAGTCAGTAATGCTACGGGCTTTCAACAAGTTGATCTTCGTCTTGAAAGGATTGAGCAACAGATCGCTAGAGTAGAACACAAACTGGATTTGCGTCAGGAGTACATTCAAGAATTGTGGATGCACCAACCCCCTGTTCCTGAGGTGAGGCAGGAAGGTGGTCAAACTCCAGTTGTTCGGATGAATGATGGTGATCAAGCTGATTTCGATCTTTCTGGGGCAAAGGAAAGTCAGGACGGATCCCAAGCGTCCAACGATGTTGAAAGTAGGTGTTTGAGGACCAAAGACTCGCATCATCTCAAACTCCCGCAACTTCCCGAATCAGCCAGTCAGTATAGGCCGTGGAGAAATTCGGTGAGAACCATGTTGTTGTCATATGACCAAAGTCAGGAGGGTTTGCTCCACCAATGGTTGACTCCTGCTTTCACAGCTAGAGGGGATGAGTCAGATCTTTTGCGAACTGATTCCGGTGACTTTCCTAGACTTGATCGGGTATTGGCTTCCGTATTGTGCCGTCAAGATACTTTGCGAACAGCTTTGGGTTTGCGAACCCAGAGCTATGTGGAAACGTGTGAAGGCACAGGACATCAGATCCGGGGTCGGTGCATTTTGAACCTCGTTGCTAAAGAATATGATGATGCGGAAACATGCCATCACGTCGAGCTTGGAATTGTTCCAGCTCCCGGTTCCTCAAGATTCAGCTTTGAAACAATGGAGGGACAAATCTGTTTACATTCTACCCCAATTGCAGTCTCACCAAAAACCAAACGAAGAATTGATGTTTCAATGGATCTACAACACGTTGAAACGACACCCACTCATGAGAAGGGTCATGGATCGCTATCTTGACTCACAGTTGGGTTCCTACGAAACGTCTTTTGATGCAATGTGGCCAGGGGTAGAACGAGCTCTTCTTGAGGCCCAGTACGATGCCAACGCGCAATCCATTCGAGATGACTTGAAACGTGGCCCTCAGCAACTCAAGAAAGCCACGGCTCTCCCAGGCGCAAAAGACAAAGGAAAGGGAGTAGCAAAGCTCCCAAGGCTCCCAAGGAAGGCAAAGGCAAGAAGGACAGCCCGCCTAAGGAAGCAAACGCAACAGCAAGCAGTAGTAAACAGGTCAACAACTCACTCCCGCTGAAAAGGCTGCCTGTCCATGTATTTATCATGTTTGCGGTAGATGCATGCGTGGGGATCAATGTCCTTATTCTCATGCGTCCCAACCTGCAGCAAAGGCCAAGGCGACATCCTCAACGTCCGCTTTCGGTGCTAAGGTTCCTGGCGCAGTCGCAATCCTGACGTCAACCTTGACTGCAGCCGTGGCCTCGTCGTCGTGTACATGCTTGGAGTTTGTTGGGGACGCAGGAGCCGGCGAATGTTTGGGCTCCGTAGAGGCATTTCGACGACAGGGGTTGGAGCTTCCTGATGATTTGCAGTACAGTCATCACGTCCACAGAATTTTCTCACTGGGTGCGGAACCAAGTCCGGGAATCAAACCATCGGTATGTGGAGTTCAGAATTTGAGCGTCTTCATAACATGTACTTGTTGCCCAACTGTCCCCTTGCGCTTTCTATTGGCCAGTTGTGTGAGCAAGATGGGTACACTTTTGTATGGCAACCATCGCGCCTCCCCATGCTCACCCCACCAGCATCTCAGTGTGACATCACGATTTCAGGTGTTACCATTCCAGCCAATCGCGTTGAACACCACGTTCCCATCTTCCAGCTGCATATGACTTCCACTTATGGCCTTCCCTCCTCAGTCGATGTTGCTGGCGGGGGGGGTGCTCCTTCAGCTGCCATCGGGGACGCCATAGCCAGTTTTGATACCTACGGGGCACCGTCAAAATCAAATGGCAAAACTGTCCCCAGCCCTGCGCCGGGCGCGGGTGGGGAAGCCGATGTTGATGATGAACCCCAGGAACTTCTTGACTTAGCAGACTTAGCAGCGTGCATGATGTAGACAAAAACTGGGTTGAAGGAATTCCCACAAATCACCTGATGACTCACCTGCCTAAATCCCGGAATTGTGATACATGCAAGAGGGCTAAGTTGTACGAGTCGCCGCATCGGCGCTCAGGAAACATGAGCGAGAGCCTTCGCGATGCTCGCGCAGCAGAAGCGCCCACTGACTATCTAGACAAGCTATCGGTGGATCACATCGTTACTCGGGAGGAAGTGGGGTTTCGGGGGGAATGCTACACTTTCGTAATGGTATATCACTTCACAGGGCTGACTTCCATCGTGCCATGTAAAACGAAAAGCTCTGAAGAAATTGAGATGGCCTTGAGGCGTTTGGTAGGGAAGAGGCGTCCAGGTATCATCCAAATTGCCAGTGACCGAGCTCCGGAAATCAGGAAAGCGTGCAGAGATCTAGGGTTTTCTCACGAACCTGCACCTCCATATCAGAGAATTCACAACGCTGTGGCCGAATCATCAATACGAACCATCAAAGGCATGACATCGTCTGTGTTACTCCACTCAGGTTTAGATTCCGAGTATTGGCCGCTGGCCCAAAATTACCTTGAATGGGCATACAACATCACGACTGATAGGTATCAGAATGCGTTCGTTTACCAGTTGGAATGTTTCATGATTCCTTTCGGGGCAATGGTTTGGTTCAAAGACCCTGACCCACTGGCCTATGGGCCAAAAGGGGAACCAGCTTTGTTTTTGGGCGCCGAACTGATCGATGGATTCTTGTTCAAGGGAAACTACAGGGTTTGGCCAATCGATGCTGTCAAGACAGGCGTCTTCAAGGAGTTCGTCACGAGAACCTTGGCGAGCTCTATGGGCAGCCAACAAGTGGGGACGACTGGGCGCAATACTTCGACGCCACGCTTGTCTTGGATCTCCAGGGCCAGCGAATTGAGGCTTTCCCTTCGCTTTGGTATTTCCCATCCCTTGAACTCCTTGTTGGGGGGTATGTTGATGACATTTTTTGTTCAGGGCCCGAAGCGTCAATGAGTATCTTTTGGGAAGAACTTAGCAAAAGGATCAAGGTCGATGCAATCACGGAACCTGGTCGGTACTTGGGTAGGGATCACATCGTGTTCAACTTCCCCAAAGGCAAACAAATCTTCCCCTACATGAAGGATTATGCGGTAACATCGTACAAATTGTATGAGGATCAGTTTAACTGCACCCTCAAGACTATGACGCTCCGTTTGTCACCGAGTCCGCGCTGACTCCGTCGGGGTATGAGGAAAGTGGACATCTTGCAGGAAAAGCGTCCCAATTGTTGATGAAACTCTTGTGGCTAGCGCGGCTAAGTAGGCCGGACATTTCTTATGCAATATCGTCGCTGGCAGGAAACATTAGCCGGTGGTCAAGAAACCACGACTTGATGCTTTGCAGGCTCTTGGGATATGTCAAAGCCACAGTTGACTACGGGGTCCATGGCACGGTAGTAGGTACAGACATGATGCCGAGGCTTCACTTGTTTGCAGACGCAGACTTGGCGGGTGATGTGATGACCCTCAAATCGCATAGCGGACACTTCGTTGTCTTGCAAGCTGACGAGGGCACATTTTTCCTTTAATATGGTCTTCCAAACGCCAGAGTTGTGTTTCCAGGAGCACAACCGAAGCTGAGATTGTCTCAGCTGCAACTTTGGTTTTCGACGATGGACTACCCCTAAAAGACCTACTGGAAATGTTATTGTCGCAGCCCATTGAAACTCTGATATAGTCCTAGGCAGAGGTCCCTCAACAGGACCCACAAAATCAGTGTCGCTGCCTTGAGCGAAGCAATCCAAGATCAGGGCATCTTGCCCGTTCTGACTTCCACGCAGGACCAATTGGCGGACATTTTTACTAAGGCGCTGGTACGCCCCACCTTTCTGCAACTAAGGTCTCGAATCGGAGTTGGGCCTCCGCCCCCTCAGCCTTCTAAGACTAAGTAATAGCAGGGTCAGCCCTTGCGCTATGCGCTGGTGACTAAGGAAGAGGCAGACGTGGAGGCTCTGGCTGGATGCTTCGTGATTACTAAGTTCAAGTCGCTGTGCGGTGGATGCTGCTGATGTGCGACAGCTGCTGCTGAGCGGCTGCCTGGATGACTGAGAGTGCATTTCTCCAAACGGAGCCCTCGTTCTCATGCACAGAATCATCTGAATTCTGTCAAGTCCACTTTAGTTCCCTGTTGCTTACCTAACCTCAGGATCTCCTGTGATGCGAGCCAATTTGCACACGCAACCCTGGCCCGGGGGGCTGCATGTGCGAAGTGATGTTGGTAAAGGCGCAGCCACCTGAGGGGGGGGCGTGACGTTCAAGGGGATTCTCACCCAATCAGGATGAACAACATCCTGCCAATATTTGGCTCAAGTCTAAGAGGAAAACAGGCTGAAACTACTGAAAGTTGTGAGACAAACCATCAACTGCCAACCAACAACCACCAACCAACAACCAACAACCACCACCCCATCAACGTTTCTCACCGCGCTTCTTCTTCTTGCTGCACAGGTTGTAGCTGGTAAAGTAGTTCGCATGTGGGGTTATCCGGTCCTATAATTTTGCCCATGCAAAGGAAGCCATTTTTTCGACTCACTTTCGCTGGCCGTCACCGTCGTCGCATTGGCCAGGGTGGCCCCAGCCTCTTCAGCGGTTCCGTCCGACCTGCTGCAGTGTCTGCGGCTGCGCTGTCGGCGGTTCTCCTCTCGGGGAGGGTGGCACGGGTGGCGCGAGTGGCGCGGCGTCCACGGGGGTTGAAGGCGCAGGCGGGGTGGAATGATGATAAATGGTGTTTTTTTGCTTTTTGGACAAACATCGCTAGTAGGGTGGAGGCCATCGCTCTTAGGTCTCTTTTTGCTCGCTTTATTTTGAACTGATATCACAGGCCACGGTTGATTTCTTCTTATTTCTTCTGTCATTTCTGGAGGCTATGCCACCATGCCTGGGTGTCATTTGTGTATTCATCTACGCTATGCTGCTATTCATCTACCTTGCCATTCCCGACTTTATATACCTGCTGTAGATTCTATCTCGATCAGTTGGCGCAACATCACCGAGCAGTGGCAGGTCAGAGAATTTGTGCCCACAACACCAAAGTTGCTAGAGTAGACAAAAGGAAGCATCGCTACTAGGAACAAGAACGCTACTAGGTGCTCCTGGCCATACTACTAGGAGCAAGGACGCTACTAGGAACAAAGGGCATCGCTACTAGGAACAAGAACGCTGAGGAAAAGGTCATGGAAAAGCCGCCTCACTGAGAAGCGGAGCACATCTGAAAAACGGCTCTCGTCAGTAGCCCAAGGTGTTCAGGGTGCTGGCAAGTTTGTCCGCAACGCTGAGGTTGAAGTGGTTTGGCCCAAAGGGACACTGCAACATGCTCAGGCTTTTGTGGTCTTCTCAAAGCTCTTGGAGGTCATCACTCTTTAGGTTGGAGGCCATCGCTTCTAGGTTGGAGGCCAGTAGACTAGACCGCAATGCGGTGGCCAAGGGGCAAGGGCTTCCCTCCCAAATCTCTTGTCGAAGCCATAAGCTAGCTGCAAGGCCTGCACGTTGCAAAAACTATGCGCGGTGTAGGAATTAGCTGCCTCCCAAGCTGCAAGACGGATGCTTAGAATCAAGGTCACCCTCTCGGTCGACAAACTGCGACAAAGGCAATACAGCGGAAGGAAAATCACCAGTTTTTCCGTTCTCTTCTGGGTAAAGACATTGTCTACGACCGTCACCATCCGGAGAGTCGCAGGCGGCTGCCGCCTCACTGATTCTGGATGATGGCTGGGATGACGAGCCAGAGGCCAATGCCAGGAGCTGAGGAGGGTCTTTTAATGATCTTTTCTGGGTCCAGAAAGCAGATAGGCATGATAGGCCCGCAGCGTTTTGAAGGCCGGGCCGCTCAAGAAACATTCTCAGTAGTGTCTCAACATCCAAAAGTTTCGCGAACCAGGGGTGTTGGTCAGTAGACCTCTTTGGAATCTCATAGTGTGTACTTGCCTCCAGGACTTTGACGCACCGTAGCAGTGCCCTTTTCCAGTTTAGCCTCGCACAATATGTGTCAACCAGATCATGGACGATATTTGGGACATGACAGCGCACTCGCTTTTTATGCCCGTATGATATCCGACAAATGTTTTGAGAATCGTTTGGGAAACGTCCCAATGTCAGAGGAACTTGAATGCCAGCCTGCAAGTGCAAAGCATTAGTTCATTCTTTTTAACCCACAAAGTTAAACTAGCTTCCCTGCGCCTTTATGAAGATATTGTGCAAACATGTGAGGCTGCCAACACCAAGTGAGAAAGCTGAGACGTCTTGAGCCTGTGAGTCTAAGGAACAGGTGCCTTTGAGCAAAAGGGCCCCGTTGCTGATTGATGGCACCTCGGCGACATGGTGCTTCGTGGAGCAGTGGGTGGCTTTGGTGCCATCGGAAGGTAGAGCCCATCGCAATAGACTAGTATGATACGGTGCATGCCATCAGGATGCTCCTGGGGCTCCATTTCAGTGTTCAAGTTCAGGACAAACCTCACTGGCGAAGTTCTAATGTTAAGTTTCCCTAAAATACTAGAAACCTAATCATTAGTGCTAGCAGCATGCTTGAAGAAGCGTGAGCTATCCTGCGTCCAAGGTAGTAGCTTACTTGTAGGTAGTAGCTGCCTAGATTCTACTAGCTACTAGTTACCTACCCAGCTAACCTACCTCTACTAGCGGCCTAACCACCCCCGAGTTTCAAAAAATGACAACCCGGTTCGTTTGATTCGCCTTCGAGGCCGCATCATCATCCCGCCCAAGAGCTTTCGGGTCACCAGTCCGGCCACTGGGAGCCTCTCCGGAAGTAGGTCCTGGGGCTTTTGGTGGATTAATCTTTTTTCTTTATATTGCTTTTCTCGATTTTTGTGGTCATTTCTGAAGTGCACTCCTGAACTTCTGAAAAATAAATGAAAAAAAACATATGTTAATGGAAACAGTGGTGTTCACATTGGCAGGGATATATAGGTAAATTGTGCAAAGGGGTGTAGCCTCAAGCTAGTTGCTTACGAGACAGCAAGTCAGAGGACTGTTTGTCAACCATGTTTGTCCATTCCTTCACTCCAAATGTGTCCATGTTTGTGCTAGCTTGAAGGTTGGCACGCCGAGTGACAGGTTCGGAGTTGATGTCAGTGGGTTGCTTGCATGATGCAAACAGACATCAAAGCATATCCAAACACTGCACCCTGCAAGTGGAATCATCCATTTGCGGACAAGGGATGTTTGAGCCTATTTAATGTCATTAATTATTTGCTGATCTGCCAATTTTTCGGGCTATTGACAACTATCTTCAGACCCATCCGATGGCTTGTAGATGCTTCTAGCACTTATTGTGCCTACACAACTTGTTTTCTTTTGAGCATCTCGCCATGTTTCCCAGGTTCAGAAGGTGTAAGGCTTTCCGACCAATTGCTTCCCGAAACCAAACAGATACCATTTATAGATCCATAGCAAGGGTGTGTCAAGGCCAAACGGATCATAACAACATACTGCACTTGTAACGTACGCCGATTCAGGAGCTTGGTCGGTGTGGCGCCAGATGCCTCAGCTGACATGATTGAGGTGCGAACAGCGGAGTTAGTGGAGTTAGCGGACACCAACTACAACCTAGCAAAAGGGACCTGAAAGCAATGGCCTCCACCCTACTAGAAATGGCCTCCAACCTAAGAGCGATAGCCTCCAACCTAATAGCCGTCTGTTGTTTTCTGATTCTTCGGCCTGGTGTGATGGTGGTGACTTTGTTGGATGAAACATTGGATCATTGGATGATTGGCATCGGGGCTGCCAGTTGTCATTGCAAGACATAGGCTGTGATTTAACCAACGAACCTCAGAATGGATATCTCCTTAAAAAAATAAAGCTAGTCTCTTAATCACTAGTAGGGAGGTCATTGCTTTCAGGCTCCTTTCCGTGTAAAGCTGACAAATTGGAAACCGGTTCTCGGGAACAGAGTGGACACGTACAATCGGAAATTACGTCGTGCTTGCTCCGCAATTTGGGTCGACCGTACAATCCCACGTAGGGCTCCACGAAGCGAAAGAGTGTAAGAGACACTAGAGACTACACTATTAAGTGATGAAGAGAAGAGGGGCTCCTGGAGAATGAGTTGTTCCAATGCACATTATGTCCAAATAGTTCAGTTCATGCTCTCCGCATTTCTCCACCCTTTTGACCAGTTATTCTGCAGTGGATATCTGTCTATCAACGTCTAACCATCCAACTTGCAATGACTTTTTTGTTTTGCACGAATCAAATGGCGCACGCACAGGCAAGTACCGAGACTTATTCCACTCATTCAAGGAGTCTATTCTCGTCTCCCAGGCATTCACAGACGGTTTGCGCACAAGCATCTCAGGCAGCGGTGACCGCAGCCCACCGAGCAGCGCCTGGCTGGGCCCAGCTGCGGCACACGGAGCGAGCCAGCGTGCTCATGCCACATGGAGATCAGACAGGGTCATGGAGTCATGCATATTTTAAGGAACCTAATAGCGATGGCCTCCAACCTAGAAGCGTTGGCCTGTTGTTGTTTTTCCTTTGAATTTGTCAGTGAGTACAGTAAGTACAGCCTTTACCTTTTCACGTACATTATTTTTTCTACTTTTTGCTCGGTGCCGATTTCAAATGCACCGTTCACAATGTCATTTATGCGGCTAAGCTTTGTTGGATATAGAGAAACCTCCAGCAGCACGGAGGTTTGGCTCAGAACGGTCTATGTCTTCGGTCCATTCGGAGAGGCCTATTCTACTCGGATATGAACCAATGCGGATATGAGATAGCCAGATAGCCTTTGCTACTACTTGCTACTTCTGGCCCCTACGAAGTTGTGGGCTCTGCACCATATGAGGTCCTGCGCGGACACTCTGCGATCCAACTTAGAAGCTTTGGCCACGCTCCTCGGCACTGAGTAGATGTGAGTAGATGAAGTTCAGATGAGCAAGAGTTCTCTCCTGGCTGCTCCCTAGCACTTCATGAACCAACCATCCAAGCCAGACTTTTCCCTTTCCATATCCGCATAGTTTCTATCAAATCCAGCAAGAGGCAAATGAATTTCTTCGTTCGAAGCATTCCGAGCTGTGCCCCTCCGAGGCTGCAGACCAATGAGAGTGGGCGCCCCATCTCGGAGACCCGCATCGAGGCTGGATCGTAAAAGAAAAGAACCGTTTCCAGATCATCTGCGTTCGATGAGTTCGAGTTTTCTTTACATCTGTTGTTTTGCTGCGGATGGTGAAAAGCGAAACTGCAAAACTTTGAGTTGCATCGAAGAGATTCTCCTTCTCTTAAAAACAAAGCACATTTGTGTACATGTTGCTTCCCAGTATCTTAAGTTCTTGGCCTCGGGGTTGGCGACATGCTACGTTTTAAGGCCCTTCGCGAGTTGAGCAGTAAAAATACAAACGGCTGATTGAGCTCCATTTTTAGATGTCCAGAACTCCATCAGGATGCTTTTGCCAGTGCCAGCGGGCAGGTCATGGTGGCTGCGGCGACATTCGAGAATGCTGCCAGACACCGGGCAACCGAAATTTGATGTTTGCGAGATATCATAAGTTGCGTCCTTGCTCCTAGTAGCGATGCCCTTTGTTACTTTTGCGTTGGACAACGACTTAAGATCTTCCCACATTCGTACATCGATTGTGCGATGGTGATGCGTCCTTTCTCAAAGCAGTATATATATACATTCCCAGAAGGCTTTGAGCACCTAGGAGAACACTGGCTTCCAGGAATATCAGACATCATCTAAGGCTGTCAGAGGTTCGTTTTCTCGCTTGTTTCTGGAGCTCAAAGCAGAACAGCCAAGGATTCCTTGACATCAATCAGGCGGGTGTCAGTCGCGACATGTAAATGGTTTGAGCTGACTGACGGATGGTCGCATATGGTCGCAGAAACCGAAAGACCACCTTTCCAGACTACTTCGATATCCAGAGAAAAACAAGAGACCTTAAACAAAGACTTTTGGACACCTAATAGCAATGGCCTCGAACCTAATAGCGTCCTTGCTCCTAGTGGCGATGCCCTTTGTTTCTAGTAGCTTCTTGCTCCTAGTAGTGAGGCCAGGAGCCCCTAGTAGCGTCCTTGCTCCTAATATCCAGAGATATGTCCTCAGAGATATGTCCCGAAACTTCCGGGGACGACCGAGGAGAAAGTCATCTCTGAGGACGAAGAGAAGAAGGTGCGCAAACAATGATGCACTGTGACAGATGTGCGATGACAAATCATTATTTGTCATGAGGCATGCTTTTCTCGCATTCAAGTCTTGAATGGAATCCGCTAGTGTATACTCTAGGGAACCTTCACTTCAAGCACCTAGAGGGTCGGTGGTAGACATTCACAGATCAGCTTCGCATCTAAACCTCTATTCAAAGTCTTTGAAGAAGAAATGCACAAGATGTTGTGGAGACAGGAATTGGAGGTCATGTGCATGGTGTCACATGCAACAGGTTTGAGTTACACGAGAGGGCCATGTACCAGAACCAATCATGCGAGGATGGCGAGGATGGCTAAAGTCGACTAGTCTTTGGACAAATCTCATTTCATCACAGCAGCCTTCCTCTTAAACCTATAAGCCTCCATAAAGTTCTAGGAACCAAATGAAGAAGCGTGAGCTATCCTGCGTCCATACTAGTAGCTTAAGTAAGGTACTAGCTACCTCGGTTAATTAAGTAGGAAGGGGGGGAGCGGGCTTAAAAAAAAGATCCCTTCTTTTCATCACACTGACAGTGTGATCTCAGGTCATTACTTCGACAAATTCCAGTTGCATCTCTTTTTGACGACTTTGGTTCCTGGGGCCTTAGGAACCAAAGAGGAAGGCGCCAGTGGATCTCAATTCGTTTGAGCTGGATTCGCTGAAGCCAGGGGACTAATCCAGGTTCGGTTTTGTTGCCAAAGACTGCCATCCTTTTGCAGGTGGTCGTCCGGCGGACGCCTTTGGGTGTTGTGGCAGTCATTGCGCTTCTTGGAGCAATTGGCAACAGGGCAGGTCGCTGGTCCTTTCAAATTCGAAAGTCTTGTTTCGTTTGTACTGGGTCGGCTCTTGCCAGGTAGCAATTTGTAGTGATGTTGTTTGAGCACAAAGGAAGGAAAGAAGAACATATTTAAAATGAAAGCAGGTAAACGTATTTTTTTGTTCGTAGCTGGCACTTGCAAGACCTCAGGCCCTGGAATGCACCCATTGTTTTGGGTTGGAAGCCAACTGCCACCGCGCTGGCCTGCGGCAACGCAGTTGGGGCGCACAGTCTGGGAAGGTGTCGTGTATGGACTCTAATCGAGCACTTGTTCCTAATAGCTTCTTGTTACTACTACTAAGGCACCTGTTACTACTAGCGATGCACTTGTTCCTAATAGCTTCTTGTTACTAGTAGTAAGGCACTTGTTACTAGAATCGATGCACTTGTTCCTAGCAGCTTATTGTTACTCTAATTGAGCAACACAAAACAGATCAGACTCTGCACGGATGTCAAGACAGATCAGAACATCTGGGTCCCTCATGACTCATAACTCACAACCACAAAGTGAAAGTCTTGAAGGCCTTTTGGCCTCTCAAGAGCACCGATCACTTCACTAAATTTACAACATCCTTCATGGCACATCAGCATAGCCCTTCTTGAAAGCTTTTCGAAAGCAGGACAACATGTCTATAGCCCCAAAGACATCGGGTATGACGGACTCCACCGCCTTCTTCATGCTCTTCGCTGAATGCACTGCTTCGCCAAGGTGGTGCTGAAGCCGGCGCCCCAGACACCCTTGACCACCTTGCGCATTGGCGAGCTGCTGCGGCCCATCCTCCCACGAGGCCCCTTCGTCGCAGCGATGGGGGTGAAAGACAGGCGATTATGCTTCTTGTTACTACTAGTAAGGCACTTGTTACTACTAGCTTCTTGTTACTAGTAGTAAGGCACTTGT